GGGGGGGGGGGGGAAATAAATAGAAAATACTAGATTTAAATGAGCGAAAATGATAAACATTAAGCCGCACAATCCCTTCAACAATCTCAGTCAAATTAGTTTCATCCAACTAGAAATCAGTTAAGCATCCACAGCATGCAGCTTACTGGTCCTGTTTCACACATTTTCTTTTCTGGAAACCATGATCTGCTAATTACATTACTTGGTTGGACTAGCTCCTGATTTCCTTCGTTGGTTTCAGTTTAACCAAAGTCTACACTAAAGTATACTGCGTAGCTTGGTACGTACTTAGCTGCCTCTGACCCCCGCCATCTAATCTAGCCAACGACCTAGATGGCTAAATCTCTATTTATTCAAAAAGCTTCTATCCACCCTATAGAATAGTTCATCCAAAGAAGTACTACTTACAATTCCATTAAACGAGTCAAACATATGGCCATGTCTAGCAACAATCTGAAGGATCATAACCACTGTAGTCAATTATATGTTCAACATTTTGTTTTCTTTTATAAGGAAGTAAGTTTTTGGTATTGACTAGAGATGGAGCTAGATAAAAGATCTTCCAGGAAAAGAAAATTGCTCAGGCGACGATGAGGATGAAACAAGAAAAGAGTAACACACACCTTCATCGAACAGCATATGGATCCCAAGTTCACTTGAACAATGCAATACAGCGCTAATTCTATGATGATTTCAGACATTCATATGATAATTCCAACAAGCGTAGTCACAGCCTACATTTATATCATCATAAACCAGAATATAAACTCCAGCAGCCTCACAGAGTAATTACATCTTTCTATGCACACTGGACATGGTCAAAATAGAGAAAATAGTTTTCTCATATAAAAATAAAGATATAGATACCTAATTAGGAGCCGTGAAATCTATTTCCGGCTATCGTAGTCGAGAATCTCGTCATCAGTGACAGACCGAGAGTGCTGCACTATGGACCGTCCGATCGAATTGATCCAATCCTCCTTCTCCTTCTCTGAATCAGCGATAAAATACATGGTATCCGTGCGACTGGAAAGCTCAAAGGCAAACTGCTTATTGAGAACATCTTCGGCGCCCTTAACAGTGAGGCAATTAGCTACCGGAATCACCCCACGCGGTCGCGATCCGCGCGTGACATTAGCTTCCTTGAACCAGAACAGCTTCCCCTGTTTCAACACGAACCACCTGCGACGCCACGTCTTTATGTACTCCCCTTGTTTTGTGAGCCAGCCTGCGCGTTCAGGATTCGACCAGAACTCTACGCCGTCGTAATCGTCGTTTGATTGGGCTGCGCCCATCGCCGCTCGCCATAGGCTTGCCATGACGATTGAAGCGAAGGAGAAAAACTGGAGGGGAGAGAGAGAGGCAGAAAAAGGAGCAAAAGACAGGTCACATGTGGTTGATTTGTAATAATTGTCTTTCTTTTGTATTTTCTTTTTTCTTAGGACGAAATTTAAGATACTTTATTTAAAATGTCAGGGGTCGTTTCTTATGAGGTATATAAGTACAAATAATGTTGTGATAAAAATTTAATACCATCTTAATACTTTGTTTGGTTAGCAAACCTGGGATAAGTTATCTCGAGATTAAAATTAATACTGGGATAACTTATACCTTATAGGGGGTGAGGTAATTAGTGACGGGATAACTTATACCTTCTTCTAAGAAATTATGCAAATGCCATTTTTAATACAACATACCAAACAATGGATAAAAATTAATCTCAGCATAACTAATCCCAATATAACTTATATCAGCATAACTTATCCTAGCATAACCTATATTCAAACCAAACGACCCCACATTGTAATAATTGTGTTTCATGTTATCGGCATGTACAGCTTCAGAAGAAGCAGGTACTACAACTCAATTGAATTCACGACTTTATTTATCCAATATTTAATATCTGTGCAAAATTGGTGTCCCTTGATTATCCTTGATAATCTGCGAGTTGAAGTTAGGGCTTAACAATGGGACTGATATGTTTATTTCAGTTTAGATGATGTAATTTGTTCGGATACAAAGTTAAAAGAAAAAAAATTGAAACTTATTGCATTAAATATGCTATGAGATTTCTATAGCTATATGTGGAGTATTAAAGGGAAAATATAACTAACTACTCTGCATTGAGAAAAAATTACCAATTATACAATGAAATTGGTAACAAGATCGGAATAAAAAGGAAGAGGTACTTGCGGAGAATATAACTACTTGTAATTGCCTCTCTCTTTTCAGCCCTATCCTTCTACATCTATCATCCATTTATTTTCATGGTGCATTCAAGGAAACTAGGCTGTCACTTTTACGAGTCTGGGTGTTTCTCAATGGCGTAACCTTTACAATTAGCTACACCTATCATGGGATACTATGGATTCTAATCTAGTTAACATCATGTTCTGTGAACAATATTCATAGACTGATACCGTTAAAGAATCTAATGAAATTTTTGCTACAAAATTGTTATTGTTTGATCCAAAATTTAGATCTAGGTTCAAACAATTATGATTTTCTAATGAAATAAGGTTAATCTTAACCATTATTAATATCCAAAAGATTATTCAACGCGTACGGTGACAAAACGACCTATGGCTTGTAGGAACAACAGTTAATATGTAACAACAAACAATATTTAACGGCACAAATACAAAGCGAATAGTATTAAATAGCAATAAATGGTATATGATGGTATTACTGTAAATAAATGCAAGAGAGATGACCGAAAAGTATGGGTGTTTAACGGGTTGGCTGGGACGGGCTGGAAACAAAAAAAACCAGCCTGTCCGTTTAACGTTGCGGGCTGTTAGCGGGCTGTACTTTTTCGGATTTTTTTTTGTCCGTCCGGGTTCGGGCTTAGCGGGCTGTGATTTTTTTTTTTAAAAGTAAATTTTATTTTTCTTATTCAATGTTATTGATACTTAAGTGTTTGCAAACTTTTAAGACTTAGAATTAAACTTTGAAGTTTAAAATTTGAAATTTGAAATTTGAATTTTATAATTTTAAAATTGAAATTTGAAAGTAAGTGGTTACAAAAAATTATTTAATAAGACCAATAGGCAATATGTAAGGATCAAGCTCCGAAGACTTTCATTTGATATTTTTATTGAATAATATATAATACTTCAAATTAAGTTGCAAGTTCTTTTTTGATTTTGTTATTTTTGAACTTGCAAATTAAAAGTTTACAACAATTATAAAAAAAAATAGTACATCACATGCTTTGCATCATTTTTGTAAGTTCATCCATGTCAACATGGGGTTCTTGGTATTTACCCATTAACCCTCCAGTATCCGGGTTAAGTTTTTGTTGCCCATCTTCCTTATCTACTGCCCAATCAAGAGGGTGGTTGTCTACCATGTGCCTACGAAGTTGACCCGTTTCCCCTCCCTTACCGGTCTCATATTTATAAATATCCTTACAAATTCTACATCTTACATAAATTTTATCTTCTTCTAGTCTGTCAAAAAAATTCCAACACTTACTTCTTAATCTTCGATTCTTCTTAATAGGAAGAGGAGGCCTACTTGTATTACCACGACTTCCACCCCTAATATTTTGAGTTTGACTAGCATTATCAGGTGTAGCTGGTGGTGTTTCAAGATTATCAGGTGATGGAAATGGAATATCATCTAAATTATCATCTAAATCATCATCTATACCATAATTTTCTTGAAGTCCCTCATAATCTACATTTAAATTTTCACGTGAACTTTTAGAAATATGTGTAAAGCTACTAGAAGAACAAGCACCACTTCTTGATCTTTTGAAAGTTTTCTTACGATCACCTCTACTAGTGCACGCTTTTTTGGCTGCTCTAAATATATCCATTATGTACATTAAATTAATAATTGTAAATAATAAAATAAATGTACACCAAAGAAGAGAAAGATATATAACGAGTGTACCGGGATTCCGGATGCCGCACTAAATTTGATATCAAAAACCAAACTACAATTGATAGATCGATACTTGATAGTTGATACCACACTTCACTTGAATACTTGATATTTGATAATAATAATTTTGTAATGGCTAAACTAAATATTTGATGAAACTTGAAATAATAAGTAATTGAGAATTAAAGAACAATAATCAATAATATCAAGAGAGAATTAGAGTAGTAAGAGAGTGAATTGTGAGGAAAAATGAAGAAGAAGGGAGGCTATCTATAGTTTTTAAAAGGTTAAAATTATAATTTATCAAATACTAGGGGTGTGAGGGCTATTTTCTTAAGGGATAGGCCGAAATGGTCATTTCTGCAAAAAAGGACCGTTGGCCAACTGTCATATTTGAATTTGACCGGTCAAAAAATAATAATTTTTTTTAAAAAAAAAAACGTTAAAAATTGGGCTGAATCGGGCTGTAGCCCGTTAACAACCCGTTAACAGGTTAACGGGCTTAGCGGGTTCCGGTGCACACGTATCAAAAAACTGTTGGTTTGAAACCCGCTCCCCGCCCAACCCGTCCCAGCCCGCCCCCACGCTACAGTACCGGGCTGACCCGGGCTGAACCCGGTTGTAAACGGGTCAGCCCGACCCGATTAACAGGTATACCGAAAAGAGATGAAATCGTGTGTTATTCTCTCTGATAATGACAAAAGATTGCACTGCTAAAAAACAGCAAATTTGCGACCGTCAAATCAGTCGGAAATCGTATTTTTTCGACGGATATTCAACTGAAAAGTGTCAGTTGGAAAACACGTGGTCGCAATATATTTGTGACAGAATCAGTCGAAATTTTGCGACGGATTCAGCCGCAAATTGAATAATATGGGACATTTGAATTTAAGCAATTTGCGACCGAATCAGTCGCAAATTTTGCGACTGATTCCGTCGCTGGCCAGAAATAAAAAAACAAATATAAATATAAAGTTGCGACCAATTCCGTCGGAAAATTTAAAAATAAAATTATTTTTTAATTAATTATTCCGACTGAAACAGTCGTAAACATTGAATTATTAATTAATTAAAAATTTCAGAAATTTTTCATGTGCGACTGATTCAGTCGTAAATCTTAATTAAATTTTGTTATAAATTTTCAATTTGCGACTGAATCAGTTGCAAATCTGGGTAATTTCTGATGAAATTTACGACTGATTCAGTCGCAAATCTGGGCATTTTTAAGCAGAATCCTGCTGTATTTCTTATTACACCACCTGCCAAATAAAACAGCCAACCAAACACCTAACAATTAATCAAAAACCTAATATAATAATCCAAAAACCTAATATAACAATCTCAAATCCAATATTTACTACAAAATGAACACTAACATTTATAACAATTCAACTAGCTAATCAAACAACCAACTATCAAACTCGTCTCTAACTTCAACTCTAAAATATTCAAATAGCCTATTCAGAATCAGTTTCCTCCTCAGACTCAAAGTACTCCATTGCAGCTCCTTTCTTGCTTTTTTTTTTTATAACAATTTTTGAATCAAAGTCTGAGTTGCTTGAAATTCTTGCGATATTTGATCCACTTTTTGACGCATAGCTTTAATGTCTTCTTGAGAAACCAATGCCCCACTGAATAATGATGCTGGTAGACGACTGGAGGATGGCTGTACTCCAATCCCGTAGACTCGACCTTTATTTATTATTTTCACGACAAATAAAAGAAAAGAAAGTAAAAGAAGTAAGAAAAAAAATAAGCAACTTTCAAATTAATACCAAAATAGATAATTACATAATATTTATACCTTTATTCACGCCACCAGCCGCCTGTGTCCAAATTACAGTCATATCCTCGGGGGCCGGCTGAGTTCCTTCAGCATCAAGATCAATATGATACTTGTTATGAAACAAAAATAATACACGTTATATAAATAAAATAAACCAAGATCACTAACTCTGTTCCAAATCTCTTCTGGAGACAAGACTGATGGTGGCTCATCATAATCAATTTTGTTCTTCATAAATGTACTAGTATTTCTCCTGAACTCATGATCCATTGGCAAGAAGCGGCGATGGCAGTCAAACCATGTGTTCTTACCTCCATGTTTCAGAGTGAATACCTTTGTATCTTCCATACAAGTCGGGCAAGCTAACTTTCCGGCAGTTGACCACCCAGACATCATTCCATAAGCAGGAAAATTATTTATAGTCCACATCAAAGCAGCACACAATCTGAAGTTTTGCTTAGTTGATACATTATATGTTTCCACGCCTTGATGCTACAATAATTTCAACTCATCAATCAAAGGCTGCATTTAAACATCAATCAACTTTTTTGGATTGCGTGGACCTGGAACAATACAAGTTATAAACAAATATGGACTTGTCATACATAACTCAGGTGGAAGATTATACGGCATAACAAATACCGGCCAACATAAATATGGTACAGCAGAGACTGCAAATGGAGTGAATCCATCAATGCATAATCCCAACCTAATATTTCTTGGTTCATTAGCAAAGTCCGGGAACACCCTATCGAAATAATTTCATGCTTCTCCATTTGAAGGATGCCATAGAACACTATCTAGTCTTCTATGCTCATAATGCCATCTCATATGAGGAGCGGAGCTCATTGATGCATACAACCTCTTTAACCTTGGTATAAGGGGTAAGTAGTGCATCGCCTTCATCGGGGTCTTCTTCTTTTTATCATTTGCGGCATCCTTGTAATGAGGCTTGTTACAAAATTTGCAGTTATCTAGAGATGCATCATCCTTATAGAATAACATGCAACCATTCTCATAGTAATGAATCCTCTCTGATGAAAGACCCAACTTGAAAACTAATTTTTTTGCCGTGTAGAAATCTTTGAGTAGGTTAATGTTACACTGATTAAGTTCATTCATAAGCCCAATGATAAAATTCATGCTCGATTGAGAAATAGAACTATCCGACTTAATCTGAAGTAATCGAACAACAACAGACAACTTGGAATGCATTGACCCTTCATACAACGGACAACTAGCTTCCTCTAACTCTTTGAAAAACTTCTTAGGCTCATCATTTGTTTCAGATTGAGCTCCCAGGAACATCTCAAAGACATCCCTCATCATGTCATTGAATCTAGAATTTTTGACATTATTATCCACTACAGGACTACCCTCCTCACCACCAAAAAAATTATGAAAATCACCATCATTTACGCTATCAAGATTCTCCCCATGAGCAATCCATACATAATAATTTTTCATAAATTCCTTTTTAAAAAGATGACATGTAACAATATCTTCTCCCAATAGCTTAACACACTTGCATTTCACACAAGGGTATCTAATCGTTCCTTCAATACAAAAATTATCAAGTGTCCTTGCCTTAGCAATAAATCCAGCAACCCCTTCTTTAAATTCATCCCTTAACCCCACACGATTAGGATGATTCCTATTGTACATCCACCTATGATGCGCAAATGCCATCTACACAAACAAAAAAACTTGAAATTTATAAGATATTTAAAATTATTTAGTTTATTTAAAGTAATTAATAGGTTACGCCAATTCGAAGGTTCAATTTTTTAAAGTATTATATTCTTTTAAATTAAAATTCATTAACACTCCAAATCTTACATTTATCCCTATTCTATGTTATATAAATCTTTCAAAATATAAATTAAATTTAAATAGCTTCTTATATGTTCATAAAGACCACACATGGCCAATAATTTGTCAAATCTACAAATTCTTTTTAATGTAGCAATTATTAAATTTTAAATTTAATATTAGTCCATTTAATAAATTAGGAAGTGATAATAAGCTTAACTTCTTAAACTTAAAACTAAGGCTTTAAATTATAACTACTTAATACAATTTCAAATCATTCTTCTCTAAAGTTAAGAATTCCACATATACATAAACTTCGGAATTGTTAAAACCACATATAGGCACTAACCTCAATTTCAAAAGTGAATTTAGTTTCAAGCTTAAATATTATTACATCTATGGCAATTCTAAAAATAAATCTATGGCATTTCTAAATAAACATCTACGAAAATTCTAAATTAGTATCAAATTTAATTCAATTAGAGGACCAAAAAGTATCTAAAACCTAGAGACAAGATTTCTAATATAAATTCTCAAAATGTGATTTTCTATGGATTCCTAATGTGATTTTNAGGGACTCTCAATGGAGGAAGAAGAGAGAAGAAGAAAGAAATGAGGGCGGGACTGGGGTTTTAAAAAGGATCTTCGACTGATTCCGTCACAAAACTAGCGACTGTTTCAGTCGCAACATTTAAAAAAATAATTTGACCAAAGTTTAAAAAACTTTGCAACCGAAACGGACGCAAATGGTTTAATAAAATTGTTTGACTTTAAGTTTCCAACTGAATCCGTCGCAGTCTTTTATCCCGAATTTTTGCGCCTAACGTTGCGACCAATGTTGTCGGAAAAATAGTCGAAAGAATTAAAAAAAATACAACAAATATTATTTTTGAAAATTCCGACTGAATCAGTTGGAAATTTCAGACTAATTTTTCCGGTCGGAAATTTTCAGTCGCAAATCAGCTGTTTTTAGTAGTGTTGATGAGCCTTTGAAAATTTGGATTCTCCTTTGATCGTGGGAGAAAAGTTAGATTATATCTCAAGAAGAGGTGTCTTTCGTATGTATATAATAAACCAAGAATCTTTAGAGAATGTCAAAGTGTTTTTTTACAAATAAGTGTCCAATGCCCCCATAACTATGTTTTTTTCTATTTATAATGGAACATGTGCCATAAAACCCTAATAGTATAGATTCTAGGAATATTTACTGGAATATTCTCCTTAAAGTCAGATCCCCAAACCTACCCGTTATTGCTCCGTTAAGGAGGGTACTCGACCTCGATCTCTATTGACTCCTCGAACTAGCCCTTATCTTTCGTCATATCATTTCGACCTTGGATCCATCTTTTGTTGAAATCATACTGATGACATGTGGCAGCCTTCGAAGGCTCTCTTAGTGCTAACGTGGCCTAAATATAACTTTGATAATTTTTGGCCTATACAGTTAGTCCCTCCGTTCGTTGAGGTCGTCTTCGTGGGCGAGTTCAATGAGCGGATAAGATCGCTCAGGACCGTCTTCGTGGTCGAGATCACTGAATAGATAACATCGGTCGTGGTTGTTGTAACGAGCATGTGACATGGCTCTTTGTGGGTCGTGTATTTCAAATCCCTTAAATTTTCTAGGTGATTTGTTAAAAACATCTGGTCCAAGAGAGGGAATGACGTCATGATGATGCTAGTTCTCGACGTATTGCGTCGATTTGCGCATAGCCTTTTATTGGATCTGTCGTTTCGATTCCGGTGCCAATTATGATGAACCGCTTTGGGTTTTGCGCCCATTATGACAAATCTTTTCGGATTTGGTGCCTCAATCTGTATAAATTGGGATGACCAAACCTGAATATGAACCTTTTATTATTCCAAACTTGAGACTTCAAACTTCCTCTCTGAACTTCCCTTTTCTTCTTCGTTGCTCCATATCACATCCCAAACTTTCTTCCCAGTATTCTTCTTCACTTTTCATAAATATGTCGAATTTCCCATCTGATGTTGGTGAAGGGAGTCACGCCGTTATGTTGGCGGTTTTATTCCCTGCTTACAAGAAGTATGCAGCTGCCACCATAGAGGATGAAACCTTTCCATCGGTGGAGGAGATCATCCCCCGCAACCCTGAAGCCAGGTTCGATTTCCAATGATCACCGGACGCGGTGCCTGGAAAAGTCCTATCGACAATGGCACACAAAGAATTGGCTAAATTTAAATCCAAGTTCGGCCTCCCCAACCATATCGAACTGATCCCCGCTTAGGGGGACGAAGTACACGTTCGTCGCCCTGAGTACTGCACTATATATGCCTACCCCATCACTATCGGTTATTCATTTCTTATCCTCCTATTGATGGAGTTTTGCCACCACTATGGCATTTGCCTCGCTCAGCTCGCCCCTTACGTTTACAAGGTCATCAAGATGTTGACCAAATTTGCTGAGCTCGCCGGGGTCGAGGTGATAGTGCAATATTTGGTGCACCTGTTCTCCCCTAGCTTCTATAGGGGGACAATGTTGAACCTTCGTCACTGTAGAGGCAAGTGCTTGGTGGTGAGGATGGACGACAAGGCCAGCCGCCAATTATGGATTGATTTCCTTTACGTCAGAACTGAGGACGTTATGGCTAATGTATACGGCTTCCTTGAGGCTTGGAGTTATACACGTAAGTGTCCAGGTTTCTTTCGTTTTTACCTTTTGCATCTCTTCTCCTATTTCGGGATAGTTAAGTAATTATTCCTTCCTTGTAGACAATAACTGTCCTCCCCTTCTAGCTGTATGCATCGCCGACTGGGTCGAGCAGATTCTCCCCCATGCCGCAGGGATTCATGACTGGACGAGCTTTTTTAAGAAGTTCAGACCGACTCTCCTTTTCGCATGTAACTTTTTTTTTTGGGTCGTGATCGTTGCTTTTGTTTGTTGTATGTTGGCTTGCTTTGTTATAAACTTTTATGTTTCTTCCTTTCCCAGGTCCAGTTAAGGGGTTTTCTCAAAGGAGCAGGGCACATGTGCCCTCTTTTAGGAGAAGGGCTGTCGCGCCTTCGGTATCTGCCCCCGTCATGGCTACTGAGCCTTCTGTACCTGCCCCCGTCCTGACTACTGCGGCCTCTAAATCTCCCCCCATCCCAACTGCTGCCTCCGCTCCTAAGCTATTCTCGCAGGTCGATGAGGTCTCCCCCGGTGATGGGAACCTAAGTGTTCGCAAGAGGAGAGCTGCAGATGATTGGGGGGAGGGGGAATCTCATTGGCCATTGAATCGATGGAGGGTGAATTTGTTCTTCGAGAGACAACAACTATACACATTGGAGAAGGTATTGGGGTGAGCTTCGAAGTCCCACTACTGAAATATTAAGACGTGGACATACTGGTGCATCCCGAGGGGGAGACGGTCGAGGAGGGGGCACTTGATGGAGGCCTCGCACTTTCGAGGCAAGAGGAGGCTTCATCCTCCAGGGCGACAGTGGATGTTTCTTCACCAGCCAGTGACAGAGGGAAAGCTGTCACCGAGGAGGACGAAGAATCGGGTTTCGACATGGACCTCGACGATCTAAGGATGATCGACGAGGGGCTCACCCAACTTGAGGTGAGGATGGAGATAGGCTCTAGGACCATCACGATCCCAATGGATCATGATTTACTTGTAAATACCGAGGATGTAGTCCCTGCTCTCGGTCCTCTCTGTTCTAACATTGAGGGTGAGACCCTCAAGAAGATAACCAACAGTACTTTGTCGAAGAGTATCACCGGTCCGCTCTCAGGGTAAGTACAACTGTTATCCGCACTTTTCCGTATGCCTTACCTTATTTTTAAGTTCTAACTTCTTTTCTTTGATTTTCATATGGTCATTCTAGAAGCTGAGAGTGCTCGGAGGGAGAAAAGACGTAAAGAAATTTACGTGAAGGTGAAGGGAAAGTATTCAGAGTACCGTGGGAAGTACCGGTATCTTCGAAGTCAGTTTTGTGAGGGAGGCGATGTGCTGGCCTTGAGAGAAGAGTTGAAGAAGAAGGATGAGGACCTGATGGTAGCCATGGAAAAGTTTAGCATCCTCGAGGGAACGTTAAGGAGCAAGGAAGAGGAGCCTGAGCTCAGTAAGGGCGTGGAGGCCCAATGTAGAGACCTTCAAGCTCAGGTAGTTCAACTGCAATGACAGTTAGACGAGTGCCAATTCCAGATGGAGGCTCTTAGGGGTGAGATTGCTGAGAAGTAGGAGGAGCTCGAGCATGCGGAGTCTTCTTGGTTGGATGCTCAGAGGAAGGTGGACATCCTCGAGCTGGAGAACAAAAATCTTTGTGTTGAGCGGGAAAATGATCCGTTGATGGCGAGGGCTAAGGAGAACCATATTGAGGAGAGGATCGGGGAGCTAGACAAGGAAAACTCCAAGTTGCATGATCGGGTTGCTGCTCTGGAGGATGAGAAGGCCCAACTACTTGCGCAGCCCTCTTTATCAAACACTTTTGAGTATCCTAACATTCCTCGAGAACTGTACGAGGAGTGGATCCATGCTGAAGCTCGGTTGGACGTGATCCGCAAACTGCGTGTAGTGGACGCTATTTCTGAAGTGACTCTCGAGAATGCCCGAGTTAAGTCTCTTGAGGCTCAGCTCGCTTGCGATTATGATCCTGCTACGCCATAGCCTGATGAGGTGGATGAAGAAGAGGGTGTGGATCAGCTCGAGGATGATTCCTGGTATGATTCTTCTTATCCTCAGGGCGAGGATGAAGGAGATACTGGAGGCTGAGATGGAGAGATATTGGAGGCTGAGATGGTGATGGCCATTAGTTCTTGTTTCAACTTGTATATTTGTTTTGTTGGTGTCTTAAAATGCTTTTGTAAAGAACCCTTCCTTTGAATATGAATATCCAAGTTGAATTCTTGTTTTACATGTCTTTTTCATTT